GTGTTATTTGATCACAAGTGCGAGACATCGCAAGTGTGAGCCAGCAAGCCATGACGTCGCGACAATAGATAGAGACGTTAACGAGTTGTGCGAGGTATCGGCTGAGATTTGTGGAGTACAATTCAAAAAACAACTATAGGTCTAATAATGAATTATTGTGATGTTAAATAGACAATGTTAGCTATCAAAGAGCGACGTTGTTTTTCAATGGGACCTTCGTCCCTTCAAGGCTAGGCCTATACCATCCTAGCTAGTCTAGGCCTAGAGTGCTAGCGTGAACATGCGGACGTTGCTATGAGTAGGTTAGTCTACAAACGTCGCCTAAAGTAATTGATTTTACCCGGCAGAACGATAGAAGGAAACTCTGCTTTTCAGTCGTCTTAGGCACTTGTTTTTTGACAAACAATGACCTTTCAGAGGTCAAATTGCTGTCAAGAATATGAATTGGCTGTTTCGCAGCAACAAGATGTAATTATATTTTTTGTCAATGTGCACAGCTTGGCTCACAAGAAATTTTGAATAATAAACAGTCACAATAATTTAATGATTTATTAATAATAATTAGCAACAAGAGGCACAGGAATATTTCAAATAAAAGATAATAAAATAACTTACAAAAGGTTTTTCTCCATATTTAGCTACACACCCAGCTGCACTTGGTGGACACCTGGTTCTAGGAATAGGGTTCAAGGGTCGACAGGGATTCAGATAGATGGCTGATGACGTTTCAGAAGAATCTAAATTTGTTGCCAGGTAGTAACCTTGGTCGTTAACTAAATGTGAAAGATCAATGGTATCTACCCCATTGGTTGCTTTACAAGAAATCTGCAAATATATTTAATTGTTATTAAAATTATGATAATAATACATAATAATTATACAATAATGAAGAACAAACAGGATAGTTTCTACTAGTAAATTATCATTAGCATATCAGTAATTATATGATTCTTCTATTATTATCATAATCATCTTCAATTTTAATTGCAGGCATACTATTAGAAATAACCCCTACCTTTTAAATACCTCTATCAGTCAGCCCTCACCACTATTCACTGATGAATCAGGGGATCTTCCAACAGCAACCATCAAGCTAGCCCCTCCACCTCTAAGCCAAACTTCAGCCCATGCCTACAAGCAACCAGTCATCTTCCCCAGCCACCTACTCATGCTAACTTTCAGCTATAGCCCTCTGTCAGAATCAGCCCCACCCCCTTTCAGTCATTCTTTATTTCCACCTTCTATGAGCAACCAGCAATCTAGCCCCGGAACTATTGTATCAATCCCGACTTCAACCCAACCCTAATAGTAAACAGTCAGCCCAACCCCAAAAACACCATTATTTTTTTACCTGGGTTTCACATGCAAGAGATGTATGCCATGAGAAATAGTAAGTACAGTCCTGTGATTCATCAACAAACACCGGTTGACCTATGACACCATCCTCGTGTGGACAAACAAAGTTGATGATTGAGCTTCGTGTAAACTGTGCCTGATGACAGGGTTTGCCGTCTTCGTAATTTAACATCAGAATTCCACTGTCAAATGACAGATGCTGATTAAAGTGTCCAGCATCAAATGATTGTGGATTGTCACCAGTTGACTGTACTTGACAAACACCTACAAATGTATTAATCAATGAATTAATCAACCAACTAAAGCAACTGATCAGGCAAATATGACCATCAAATCATCAATGATTATAATAATCTGATCTGATGACTACCAGCTATAAATATATCAAATTTTCTTTCCATTATCAATATCAACCTCAACATTATCATCAATATCACATGTGGCAAAGTGTGGCCCAACAGCGATTTTTTTTTGCAGACCACAAAAATGTATTAAAAACCCTGTGTGCAGCCCGCCAAGCAACATTGGCTAGAAAACGCTTTGTTTTTTACAGCCCAACACCGACCATATGTAAAAAGTAACATTAAAACTGAGATTAAAGTGGTGTAATAATAGTGCTTGGAGGTTTTTGGAAACTCACTGGAAAGTTTGGTTGCGGCCCTTGGTGATAAATAAAAATTCACTTTGGCCCTCCGACTGATTTTTATGCCCACCCCTGACCAATATCATCATCATCATCATCAAACTACGGCCATAATATTGGCTCTGGTTTCGAACAGCACGCTCGCCTATGGTTCTGGTGGTGGAACAAGTCTTCTCGGATAAGGACTATAAACCGTAGGCAGGGCGTACAAAATGGCTCGTGTGCATTATAAATTATCATCATTTCAAGCTGCTGCTAGCCTGGTTCTCACGAGAGCCCTAGTATCCAGATCGGGAGCTAACCGTTAGCGCTAACCGTTAGCACCTGTGTGAGAACGCCTGATCGGTTAGCAAGCGTTATCGGTTAGCAAGTGAGCATGTTTCTATCATCAACCAATCACACGTACGCGTTTACAATTTCCAGTTTCTTATTGGCTAGTGATTCCATCATCATATTCTTGGTATCCGGATCGGAATCTTCTCGTATGGACGCATGGCAGCTAATGGTTAGCAGGATCCGGATCCTGCTAACTGTTAGCTGCCGTGTGAGAACATAGCCTACCTAAGCTTTTGCTGTCATCAGTACACTTTGATCCACTCAGTGCTCCACATATGTTCAGTGTGTAGATGTGCCCATCACTACCAGACACTGTGTAACCATTAGCCTTCTTCAATGAGGACAAGTCAAAACGGTAACCTATCAAAAAATCAAAAACAAAATAACAGCACACCGTATTATAGTTTTAATCAACCCCTGAACAATTAACAGAGGTACCAAATACCTAAGGCTTTTGCCTTTCGGCCACTGTGCGGAATGTTGAATAAAGGAAACAATATTTAAAAATTACATAGATTTTGGTACAATAAGTACAACATAAATGAGGCATGTTGTGGCGAAATAGTTAAGTTGTCACACAGCCCAGTTTTGAGTAAATGAGCTATAATATATATGGGAGCACAACAAATTGCCTAAAAATCCAAATTTGTTTTTCACTATAGATCAACAGTTTAATGTCTTATTAATCATGTCCCAAAATATTAGTTCTGGAAGTGGTTAACAAATTGTTTATTTAATGTTATTTTTTATAGTTCATTCTATTAAACAATATATGCACAAATAACTTTGAAAGGCAATTACTCAAAATCATGTTTATCTTGACTCTAAGAGTACTGTACTTTCACTTTCCAATAACTTAGGCTTGAAAAGTCCAATTTGAATGAATGACCTCGCATTTTAAAGATCACATACTCAGGTATCTGAAAATACCAATAACTTGAATTTCAATTTTTGCTACAACATAGCCATTTTGCCACAACCTGCCTCAAATGTCAGTGAATTTTGTGGTGTGACAGATGTGAGAGAACAACAGATTTAGAATTTCGTTGGTTTGAATGCTATATATTCGCTAGCGCCACATGCTTCCCAAATATCACTTGTTTTAGCTTTGTAATCTATATCTTTAATTTGTTCTTCCCTGGTTACCTTAAATGACACAAATCAGCAGTGGTTTTCTTAGTTATGAGTGAAATACCTAAATAAATTGACTACTACCAATGCTCCTGGAGAACATCCCTTCCCCCCAAATAATTGAGCAGCTTAGCTCAGTTGGCTAATCTGGTGGTAGCCACTGTGTGTGCGCTGAACTCTAGGTCCCCAGTTCAATTCCCATTGCTGCCTCTAATTGTTTAGCTGGAGAGCTAAAATACAAGTTACAATAGCACACCGTCTTTCGTATGAGACGTTTAAGCTGTTGGTCCCATGTGCCCATTAAAGAACGCAGTACACTCTTCGGAAAAGAGTAGGGGATTGTCTTCCGGTGTACTGCCCAATCACCATCAGAAGGACCCCACTAGAAATAAGTCTTCTTCTAGACTTTTATGGGCTATCCTTGGTGTTTACATCAAAAATCCAATCCATCCTATGACACCACATGCCTACATGTTTGTCTTCATTCTTCTGTCACCTTTATTGCCTTTTACACAACTTCAATCACAGTCCAAGTAATTATTAAGCCTCTCTGATACCTTTACACGAATTGAGGCGTTGATTTGATAAAACAATATCAATAGTAGCGTTTTCAAGGTAAGTATTCAGAAAATCATAGATCATACAATTTGCATCAAAACAACTTTTACCTGTTGCTGGGTTTGTCACCGTACAATCATTTGAATCATCTTCTTCCTCCAATTCACAGGCTAGCTCAGTGAACCAGTTGAAATGGTAGAAGCAATAGGATCCACCGTAGGCATACGAAGGCCCTGTAGCCTGTATAATGAAAGCAAGTTATCAAAGACCAGAGTTTTTGTTTTAAGACACTCCTCAAGCCTCATATGAGATTTAGTTAATAAATTAGAGGGAAAAGTAACCAGGTACTCTATAAAAAGTTCCCTATTTAAACAATAAATATTACGGTAAAAGCAAACAAGCAACAAATAAATAAATAATCAGGGATGTAGTTATGGTGGGAGGAGGTAGGCGGGGGCCACCCACACTTAAGTTTTCAACCCAGTTTAAAGCTAATATCATGGCACTCCTAGTATCTTGTGCGGTATAAATTTTTATAAGATTTAACTTGTAATTACCTCAGAATCTTTGTCACAAATGAATGCAATGGTTGTCTTTTTCAACAAATTACCCTCAGAATTTTCAAATGGCATACAGGGATCTCCACCTTCGTAGGTAAGTGTAAGGTGGTTATTAATCCAGGATGGAGGATCTTTAATGTGCCCTAAATCAATATAACTGAAGAAAGTAAATAAGTGTTAGTTTTAGTATTATAATCTATATCAAATGACATGGATAATCATGACAATAGATAAAAGAAAAATTATTGGTTCTCATACAAAGCCATTCTAAGAAAATTCACAAATCAGAAGTGATGTTCGTAGTAATGAGGATGACGCTTGGGCCTGAGGCGCAGTCACATGCTGAGACAATCAGATGGTTCTATTTTTGTTGTAGGAGTCTTGGAAAATTAGTGGGTTTATCCTGGTAAGTATTCACAAAATAGACTCGGGTTATACAGCATATCAAGTGTGAAAAACTACACAGCAGGGTTAAAACAAAAATAATTCTTTTCTTGCTATCTCACATCTCATAGGGCATTTATGGAGTACGATAGATGATTCCATTATTTTTAAAGGTAAGATCAAGAAGACACTTAGCATTAATCATTCTATCCAGGTAAAGTACCTTTTACTAAGCTAATGTGTTTATTCTTACCGGGTGTTTTCCGGTGTGCCTGTTTGTAGGCACGCAGCTGAATTTCCCGGACATTTTGAACCTGTGAAGTACAATAAATTAAATAAAGTAAAATCCATAAAAGCCAATGAACTGTTACAAGACAGAAAAATGATTGTTGTTTATTAATAATATTAGTCAATGTTATCTGTACATGTTTTTACTTCTTGTAAAATTATTTACTGTGTGCCACTTTTACATGTGCATAAGTGCATATGTTTATATATGTAGTATGTATGTGCATATGCGTGTAGGCATATATATGTATATGCATATGCATATATATATGTATGTATGCAGTACACATATGTATATGTGCATATATATTCAGTGTGTGTATATATATATATGCTTATATTAATAATGATTCTGATTATTTTCTTTTCTTAATTGAAGATCTCAATGGTTAATTATTATTTTTTTTCTCTTTTCGTAAGTAAAATTTTTTGTAACTAAAATAATTAAATGACCCTTTTTGATGTAATTTTTTATAAATGGGGTTTTTGCAATAATTTTTTTCAAATGATTTTTTAATTGCAATTTTAATTCTGACCTTAATGGTTAATTATGATGATGCTTTTTATCTTTTTTTAATTGATGCTTTTTTGTAATTAAAACTTTTAAATAACAATTATGGATGTAATTGCAATTTTAATTCTGACCTTAATGGTTAATTATGATGATGCTTTTTATCTTTTTTTAATTGATGCTATTTTGTAATTAAAACATTTAAATAACAATTATGGATGTAATTTTTTAATGGGCATTTTGCAACTATTTTGGTGGATCTTTGATTTTTGTTTTTTCTTAATGTACCCAGTGGCGGCTCTAGGATATATTTTATGGGGGGGGGGGCTAAGATGTCCGATTGGGGGGCCTCAGTATTTATGGGTGTAACTATATTGCGCAGTGTTATCTGAGGGCCGAAGGCCTGAGCCGGGGGTGGGTATGGGAAGGGGATATCCCCTCCTCCAAAAACAAGATTTTAAAAAAAAATTGGCACTTCTAGATGGCCGGAAATGGCTGGGATGAGAAAACTAGGCCTATTTTTTGTTTTCTTTTGGTCCAAGAGCTTCGGCCAATGGTGTGGAGGGCTTGACCAAACAAATAGGGGGCTTAAGCACCTCCTTGCGCCACCACTGGATGTACCTTTTTGATTTTCTCCTTTTGACCCCTTATTGCCTTTTTTCTCCCTATTAAAATTAGTGATTTCTTAAGTGCAATTTAAATTTTTTGATGTTGAATATTTACCTTATCTTTGCCCTATTTAAATTATTAGTTAATTAAATTTTTTAATGTAAATATTTGATGTTTACTCCCTTAATATTGGTATTTTTTCTGTTTTTTTTTTTTTAATGTTTTTATCTATTTGTGTACTGTAAATTTTCTCATCCAATCCATTTTTTTGATTGCAATAAATTTAATTTGATTTTTGAATTTGATTTTATTACTAAAAATAAACATAAATTAAAATAAAATCAGATGCATTTCATACTATTAAGATTTTGTTTGCCAATGAAACAAAAACAAAATATTTGGTCCCTTTTAAAGCAATTAGTCATCTTATACAGTAGTTTTTAGTGTGCATGAATGCCAAAGGTCATATAAACAAGCAATTCTATATCTTTATACTATTTTATGAATTTTTAAATAAGATTATTAATTCATAGTTGCTCATCTTTACAGTATATATTTGTCAAATACAGCAACCAATCTTCAAAAACTGACAATAAATATTGCTCTATCAAGATTCATGTATGACTTAAAATTTTTTGATTTATGCTTAGACCTTATCATGCACACTTAAATTATAATAAGGTACAGTATATCATGGATAATGGTTTTGAATACCTTCAACGTTATGACTGTGTACAATGGGGCGGCAAACATTCATATAAAAGATATCAGGCTTGTTTTTGGAATGGTAAGACGGTGTGATTTTGTAGTTATCGTGAATGCGTGTTAACGGTGATAGGTCGAACTGAGTGCCTGTTGAGCTACGATAGCTACACTGCACCAAGTCAAATGGTGGACATGCTAATGGCGTTGCCCATTCAAATATGTAAGTACAATCAGTTGTTTCATCGATAAACTTTGGTTCTCCAGGCACTAGAAGACAGAAAAATTTTAATCGTTGAAAAATCATTCCATTTGACAATAATGATAATTATGATGAAGACAAAGAAGACTATTCCTACAAGAATAAAAATAAATACAAAGACAACAAAGGTTGACAGCACCTGCAGTAGCACTTTGAAGCCCCCAAAATAAGGGCATGCTAATTCATTATTCAAACAAACTATATATGTGACAAAGCCAAGCCAAACCAGTCACTCGTCGCAAATAAAGATATATTTGAGAAATCAGCCTACAAAGTTTATGATTTCGGAGATTTCTGAGGCAGAAACCATCACAATCGTTAAAAATTGTTGTTTTAACTTTGAAATTGGGGAAAATAACAGCATAGCATGATATATAGATAGATAAAGGTTAGTTTAGTGCAATAAAATAGATTTTAAAATGTTGACATTCAAGCATGTTAATTTAGGATATAAATTCTAATTCTATGCAGATACTAATCAATGCCTGTTCAGCATCTAGATGAATGCAGGGGCTATGAGATGGACCAGTACACCGGGGTAACCCCCTAATCATCTCGAAAGATGTACTGGGTCCTTTATAGTGCACAAGAGCCAACTGTGTACACTAGGCCTACGATTTATAGTTCTTATCTCAAGAGAATTGCTCCACCTTCCGAGCCATAGGCAAGCGTGCTGTTTGAACCACCGCCGATATTATGCTGTGGGCCTTAACCGCTCAGCCATTTCAACTCACCTTATCAAAATAAGCATTGTATTGTTATAGTGAACTATATAAATAATGACATTGTAATAGTTAATAGTATATAGATAGATAGATTTTAAAATGTATATTGCGCCGGTTAAACCGAAATCGTCACTAGCGCTTTACAATGAATACAAAATAAAGAGCAAAAAACAATAAGGTGATAAAATAATAATAATAGTAGTAATAATAAAAAAAAAATAGGATAAATCTTACCTGTAGCTGTCTTATCACAATAAAAAACAAAAGATGTGGACCTCTCGTAAACTTTGTCATGGCATGGTTCACCGCCAGTATAGTTCAGCTTCAACCGTCCTCCTTCATACACTAATGTACTGTTTGTCATTCCTAGGTAAAGATGTATACAATAGTTAAGTATATTGTTAAATATTTATTAAATAAAATATATACCTATACGAAAGTATCTGTATTGACTGATAAATGCAAATTATTGATCAGCAGTAATAAAAATAATAATAATAAAGAAATGTTTATAGAATTCTAAAAATAATCAATTATTATATCACTTTTTTAATGAGAAATATGTTTTCATATTGTTAAATATTTATTAAATAAACTATATACCTACGAAAGTATCTGTATTGACTGATAAATGCAAATTATAGATCAGCAGTAATAAAAATAATAAGGAAATATTTATAGAATTCTAAAAATAATCAATTATTATATCATTTTTTTAATGAAAAATATGTTTCCCTTTCAATTTTATTTCCTTTATTTTCTTTCTTTACCATAAAAAAAAAAGATTGAATTGATAAATGATAAATTAATAATCACATAATATGTAATTTGTTAGGAAAAAATTGCTCTAAATATCATTTCACACAATCCTTTTCAGTCAAAGGAATCATTCCACATAGATTATTAAACCTACTACTTTTTACCATTTAATTTTATGGAAGTTCTTTTATCTGTCACTTGAGATATACACAACACTGTTAATTTAGCTTCATAAATTAATTGTTGATGTTGGTTTATGAGTAGTCTGGGTTCCAGGTCCTAATTTTGGGTTAATCACTCTTTATTGCATTTACTGCGCGCCATACCTAATTCAATTGGCGTGACATACTCAATTTCCTTTTTTTTTTTCGGATTAGGGCTCATGCGTATAATTTCCCACATCAAATTCAATGTGGGATATCGTTTGCATGGCTTAGTTCATGCATATTAATTAATCTTGGTAAATTTTCAAAATTGAAGATATGGATGCCTCGACTAGGGCTAAGCTAGGCCAGCTCCCTTCTGCCTACCTTCTTGAATATAAACAGTTAGTATATTCGTTCTGGAAGGCTGAACGACTATGGAGGACTGATAACCGTAGTAACTTACACATAACCCTGATGGGGTTTATTCTAAATAATTTAGGCCCATTTTATTATTAGCCATACCTAACTAGTCGACGTGAGTGACTTAGTTTCGTGGTTATAAAAATGTGATCATTGAGATTGGTTGAAATTGTTTATTTCGGTCCACCCATTTCTCCAAATATGGAATATAAGATTACATCATTCTTTTGGCATCCTGGTACCTGCATTTAGTGTTTTACAAGTCCCATATTTCTCTAAATTAACTTTCTCGTTGGTTGCGCTGTCCAGAAGGAGAAGAAAAAATAATAAGGGAAATTGTAGCAAGTTTAGTTTATGAGTGAAAAGCTAATAATTTCCAATGTTTCCTTCACTAGTTAGAACACCCCTTGAATATGACAGAGCATTTATGATGCCCAAATCTTCTTTGCCAAAATGGTGAGACAACTACAAAAAAAAAATTCCCAAAAGATTTACCTGTAACCTTTGAAAAATTTGGGTCGGAGCTCTTGAGCTGACAAGCTCCAACTCCACGTTTGTTACAGCTGCCTTTACCGCTTACTAGATTTCCACAGGGGTTGATGACAAATTGGTATGCGCCCCCAACAACTTCATAATCTTTGCTTGAGTTGTAGAGCGACGTGAGGTTGAACTGGAAGCCAAGCTCAGGATCATCAACTACACAGTTATTTCCTGTATTCGACTGCAATGGATGAATGCAATTATTTTATCACAAAAGCCATGACAATACACTGAATTTTCCAAAAACTGAAAGGTCCATTGATTATTCTCCGATAAGATAGTATAATATATACTCCAAGTATATTGTTGATATATGTTATATGTTAGTATTGTAGACTTTAGTACAGAAAAGCCATAACACTTTTACTCTTAACTTTGGCAATAGTAATTCGATCCCAGTAAATTACCCAGCATTTTAAAGCTTATAATGTGGACAATATGAAAATATTACTAAGTCAATTTTTTGGTCAATGATGTTAGTTTTAGGATGGCAAGCCTTATATTTTTTATAACATTAGCGTATCTGGATACCGCTAACGGTTAGCAAGCGCTATCGTTAGCACGTTGAGCATGTTTCTATCATCAAACAATCACACGTACGCATTTACAATTTCCTGTTTCTTATTGGCCAGTTATTCGATCATCATATTCTTGGTATCGGGATCTTCTCGTATGGACGCAAGGCAGCTAACGGTTAGCAAGATCCGGATCCTGCTAACCATTAGCTGCCGTGTGGGAACATAGCCAGAGTGTACATAAAAAGAATGGTTTATAGATTCGTCAGGATACAGTTGATCAAATATTTGTTTACCAGGGGCGTGCGGTGAAAAATCTAAGGGGGGGTCGAAACGAAAGCGCAGGGGGCAAGCTGAACTCGGAGCAATTTAACGTTATTTGTGAGTGAAGCGAGCAACTAGGCTGGGGCTAGGGGGCCGCAAAAGGGGAAAAATTTACGTTTTTACGTTCTAGTGCATTAAGTTCAATACCAAGTCTAACAAAATAGGCCTAATTGTAAACGTAGTTTTTGGGCAACACCAGACTATATTCACTCAATATTCCACCAGCCTATTAGATTGCGGAACTCCTGAATACGGGCCTGTGAGCATTTCAGATTAAAGAATTAAAAAAAAAAAGGGGTTTTTTTTCTTTTTCGTGGGATCGTCCCACTTTTAATTTTTTTTTAAAATAAAGTTATAAATGTATATACTGTATTGAAAAATAAACAATGATATAGGGAACATATAATCACCTTAAGTATGCGTTTATTTCTTAACGTTTTCCTTTCAATTTTATATTTTAATATACCGTATTTCTTTAACTTAGTTTTTCTTCATCGTTTTCTTTTCAATTTTATATTTTAATATATTTCTTTAACTTAGTTTTTCTTCATCGTTTTTCTCAATAACTAATACTTAAACTACACTTTCAATACTAAAGGTAATTTAACTTACCTAATATTTACATAAAAAAATAAATAGCTCTTTATTTAAAGATCAAATTGTTATCATTAATTTTCCTATGCGTCCTGCATCGTTTTGCGTCTTCTCTGAGTTCCTTTTCTTTTATTTTTCTTCTTCTCTTTTTATTTGGCATTTTTATATTCCGAAAAAATAATCTACAGTATTCAACTACCTCACAAGAAAAATTTGCTCTCATCAAATAATTACATTTCCTTCGGTTTTGCGTTGCGCGCGAATAGATTATTTTGCTGCACGGAAAACACGCAGCTACAGATAACAATAATGGCAGAGTGCAATGATGCGTAACCACATAACACAACTCCACTGGCGCACGGGCTTCAAGATATCAAGTTGATTAAAAATGTATAACTTTATATGGATTGTTTAAAAAAAAGACAAAAAATCAAAATATTAAAAGGAAGGGCCACCAAACATTTTTTAGGCGAAGGATTTTATTTTGATATTAACTACCTTCATGTTAGGCGCAGTTTATTTATGCTAGATTTTTTTAAAAAATCATATTTAAAAAAGGGTACTTTCTTTAAAAGGGCGGGTCGACCGCACCCATCGACCCCCCCACGGTATGCCCCTGTTTACAATTTTACTGAAAACATGAAAAATGTTGAAGGTTAGGTTTAGGCTCAGCCTGTGAAGACAAGTTACGACACAAACAGGTCTGAGTGAGTTATCATTAATATTCCCCCAAGCTACAGTATGCTCAGCACCTACCATCATTAGGAGCATTTAATAAAGATAGTATATTATTTACCTGCAGTGGACAAGCTGCTGGAGTTTGCCATGAAAATACAAATTCACATTCATTACTGACTACCTGGAGAACGGGTGAGCCCTAAAAAAAAAAAACCAAATTTGTTTTAAAGTAATATTGTAAGAAACATCTTGGATTCTGCATAAAAGAGGGGTCCCAAGTCTCTGTAGGAATCTCTTTGGCACTATTCCCCCCCCCCCCCAACCCTGCAATCCTGCAAACTTTCATGATGATTGAATGTTTCACTACTGTATTATTGATAATACCTCCCTGAGGTCTGCTGGCTATGGGTATCATACACATCACCGTGTGCAGCAAATACATGTAGATGTGTTAAGAAAGCACATAAAACCCCAAGAAGTGACTTCTTCCATCTTAGGACAACTGACAAAGTAGAGGAAGTTTTGGTAGAATCACTAGCACAGGTGATTACAAATACAAAGAAGTAAACTCACAGGTCGATCTGAACACTCAAATATGATTCTGGTGCTATAGCGAACATTTCCATTGCAGATGTCTCCATTCTCATACTGTATACTGACACTACCATCTGGTGCTGCTTCTGGCATGGATTGGATGTATCCCAGATTAAGCTTGTCTGCTGCATTACCAGTGGTGGAGGTCTGACAGGAACCAATAGCACCACCTATCATTACCATGAGTGTAAAGTATATAAGAACTCATTTTTATCTTATTGAAAAACAATCAATTTCAAATAGTATCGAACATAAGTCTTGTTAATGTCATAACCCATATGGACTTGAATTAATCCTGACATGCCTTCTGTGATAGTGCAGGAAGTTGCATATTTAAATCTTACATTTGTTTAACAATAATTACTGTCAAAATGTGTTATTGCGTGATCATAAAGACTTACTGTTCCCAGCCAGGATAAACAAAATGTAATTCTACTGGAGTAGAAAATTAATAGAATGTGTTGAGAATGATTTGATTTGTTAACAGTCATTTAGGGGATGTTAATTTGAGGGAAAAATAAACACCTCGGGCATTTATTCAAGGGAGATATTTATTCAAAATGAGGCTCTACAGAGGGGCGTTTATTTGAAGAGGTGTTTATTCAAAGCGAGGTGTTTATTAAAATAAATACAGTACATTATAGAGGGCCTTTGAATATTAGTTTAGCTGGAAGGGTTACCTTCTCTAAACAAAGTAAATAAAGTGCTAAGTTGTACTGAAAACTTTTACTACTTTTCACTTTAAATAATAGCTAGTTATAACTGCCTTATTTTCTACTATGGCTCACCTGGGCAATTGTAATCTGCATTGTTATTTAGAGGACGACAAATATTAATATGGTATCTTAAATGACGTTTGTTTTCTCTGGTGTCCACTACTTCCCAATTGCCATCTTCCTTTGCAAGAGGGGTGAGGTCATACTCGTTGCCGTGGCTGTCAGCAATCAGGCAATCTACTGCTTGTGGTAAACAGGCATATGGTGTTTCAAAATTAAATAACCATTTGCTGCCATCATTTCGCAGAAAGGTTGGGCCATGGTGATTGCCAGAAACTTCATGACGACAAAGAAATGTGATTTCAACCTCAGTCAATTCCCCTAAGAAGAAATGATAGGATCATTATAAATAATCAGCAAGTGAGTCAGTGATATATATGATTAAGATGAGGGAAGTCAGAGATATATATGATTAAGATGAGGGGAATTTTAGCATGGTGGTCAAGATGCTTGGCCACTAATCCCAAGGTCCTGGGTTAAAACCCTGACAGAACCTCATCACTAAAAACAACTTCAACCTTTTAAGCATCAAAGATCTTTATGCATAACAAATAGACACATTGATTTACTGTAAAAACATAAGTAAAAGTACTTGGTTTTGGAAGAGGGCGTTCTAATTGTAACCATGGTTGTTACAGAATTTGCAAGTTGAAATTGCAGAGTTCACTATCTTTAGTTTATAAGATCCTTAATGTCAAAGCTGAAAAGTACTTACTTTTGCGAAAAGGCACCCTACTATATGAGTTGTTCAGAATTTGCACAGATAAATCAAAGAGTGTTCTATCTTGCTATAAGATTTTTGCTATAAAGCATTATTAAGTTAATAAAACAGCATTCCTTCCTATAATTGAAGCCAAAACATAAAACTTGATATACTTATACATTTGTGTATGGTGCTTTTACTTTCAAAACTTACCATGAACATCATAATCTCCTTTATAGGATAACGACAAGTGGCCATCATCGGAATACTCCAGTTTAGATGATGCCCTGCCTAGACTTTTACTAATCTCGCCATGCTTGTGGCATGCTCCAGAATCAGTAGCCCCGTTACACTGATCACCCGTAACGCTGCCACAAATGTTAATCTAACAAAAACAGTGAATAAACATATAAAATAAAAATGTTGATTTTGTATCATTTCGGTTGATCATCAGCTACAAATGAGATTAAAATAATGAGAGCGACCTAAAAATTGTATTACATTGTCGCTTGTCTTGATAACAATAAATATTGAGCATTTGTAACACGCTGGTATACTATTGACAACTCTCTATAAAAAATTTTCCGTAATCGAGGTGCTTCTATTTCGTAAGATCGAAAAAGAATGAGGAAGTTGCATGGTTGCGGGGCCGCTTGTGCTTGGTGCCAGGAGTCGACTGTTCTATTATTTTTCTAGGGGTGTTTCTCGTGTGAGAAAGAATAGGCAATTCGTCGGTTTATCCAGGTAAGTATTTACGAAGTAGACTAATAAATCCAATGTAAATATACAATTTAAACCACGCAAACCAAATGTTAATAAGGCAAATATTTTTGGTGTTACAAAAACGAACAAACAAATATGGCCCCGAAACCTTGACTCAGAATTACCGGGTTAGTGTCCAGCGGGGGAAAGTTTTCCACCAAAGTTTTTACTATTGTTTATTTTATTGTACTGCGCTGGTTACATTTTGTTAGTTGTTATTGTACAGCATTTTTGCAGGACCATATTGTAAAACAGCGGTAAGATCTCGCCTGTATATGTTATCCTGCCTAAAGATGTTTTAAATAAATAAAAAAATAACTAAAAAAATAAAAATAAATATTTAAATTCTTTGAAAAAATAAAAGTAATACGTAAATTTATATTCAATTAAGTAATTAAACTGCTCATGTAAATATTATGCAAATATTAAAGACGTATCACTGTTTTTCTTTATAACGATTGAGGCCCAGTAATGCAAAGTTACTGTAGTGAACTTGAAACAAAAAAGATCATGCTCAAATATAAAAAATAACTCTAATGATGACAGGAATTTCAGGAACAACATTGGACAAATCTCTCACATATCTATTTGTGGGCTACCACTTTTTTATGTAATACTCTAGTAAAGTTTGACTTCTTACCTTAAAGGTGTCTCCATTATCACCATTAACATTGTAATATCCCTTGTTCAACTTGAGTGGGTTGAGGTTAAAAGTGTATCCTGAGTTGGTATCCTTAACTGTGCACTCTTGATCACTACTTGAGGTTGAGGTGTCTATGGGGCAAGCTGCTTCAGTCTCCCACTCAAAAATGTAATCGCACCCATCAATTTTCTCAAGTAGCCTAGGACTTGTAGCCTATATAAAATGATATAAACATTTTAACAAATTGTTGGCCATCATGTTTATATTACATAAATATTAAAATATAATTGTGATGTGCTTATCAGGGTTTAATAATTTGTTTCGATTATATCTCTTTTATTATCATTAACTAATGATTAATATTACTTTAAACTACAGTATAATTAACAATTATGAAATTATCACCTTTTTCACCATTATTATTATTAAAATAATTAAGATATTTTGACCTAAATATTTCCCTAGATTTAGTTTATCAAACTAAATAAAAATAGGCCTCCAATGTGTGTGAAATAGGAAAAACATTACAAACATAAGACTGCACTCACGAGGGAACCCTTCACACATATGAAATGAATTCGAGTTTCTGAGGCTCTGCTTCCGCAACTTATACCATTTGCGTATGTAAGCATCACATGACCAACACTCTCAACTATTGGAGGACTTCTAGAGATGCCAAGATTACTTTTGGCAGCCTTTTCATTCTAAAAAATTGTAGCAAAATAAAACAAGATTCTTTAGCATCAACTGATGAAACCAAATCTGATATATTAACTGGATACATCTGAAATGGTTAAAAATGAAGAGGGAGCATTAATTAGCATAAAAATCACAAATTAAATGTACAATATCATCTTTGTTATCAACATTGGCTGTCCCAAATTGGAACACTCGGTGGCTGCAGTACAGTTATATACTATAAAACCATGAACACAAAAGGAAAGGAAGGATGCACGCATTGCAATAATCAATTAAATATTACTGCATGGCAAAGCTTCAATACTTATTACAATGGATAACTAGAAATTCTTGTTACGATGTTTGTTTCTATATTTAATTTCAAATATGTACTTCGGCATACTAAAAATAAAGGGCTTCTAAATCCACATTCTGGTTGTGTTGATATTACGTTTAGCATTTCATGTTAATATCTATGTAATAGATATAATATTTCTGCGTTATTGTTATTGAATCTTTTTATTCTTGGACAGCTTAGGTAAATAAAAATTGTTCTAAATGTTTTTATAGTTATTACATAATAGGCAATAAATTATGATAAATCACAGAATAGTAAACTCTGGTACAGAAATAAATCACCACAAAGGAGGGCTTCAACTACTCACCCCAGGTAGGCTTCAACTACTCACCCTAGGCATACCCGAAATAAATTGCTTCTAAACGCACATTTTGGTCCTTTTGATATTACATTTAGCGTTTCATGTAATAAGTGATACATATAATAGCTTCTATGTTAGTAATATTGAATTTGTTTTTCTTGTAAAGTTTAAGTATATTTACGTTTTTCTCAAGTTGTTGCATATTAGGTAATACATTATGATAAATCACAGGATAGTAAACTCTGGTATGGCGATGCATCGCCACAAGGGAAAGCTTCAACCTACTCACCCCATCTTTAATCTCCACCATACATGATGAGCTGAGGGCTCCGCACCCAGCAACAGGGTTAAGAGGCTTACACACATGAAGATAGAGCTTGTAGCGGTGACCTGGAACAGTGTCATCAATGACGGACCAATTGTCATCATCAAGTGCTTTGGAAGCTGACAGACTAGAGAACAAATAATTAAATTGTAGCATATCTAATCTACTAGTATTTAAAATATCATTATATATTATATAATTGATTCTTGTAAATATTTGCTTTATGATTGAATAGATACTCTATAATAGTTTCTTATTAGGCCAAAAAAACCAAAAATCTTGAAAATCTAGGCTCAAATTGTTTTTACAAAGGCATCCCAAACACTTTGATATCTTAATAGCTATAATAATTATTATTAGTTTGATTTATATACGGTAGCTCTTCACACCAGAATCTGAAAGCACTCAAAGCGTGGTCTAGCTCATATAGTAACTTTCTTCTCCCCTAAAGATGTCTTCGTGTCTAAACTACACAATAAACCGGTACCAGCTACTCTCATCTGTCCACAACAGAGGCTGTATGGACCAGTACACCAGGGTAACCACCTACTTGTGTCAAAAGATCACTAGGTTATATATATTATAGTGCACATGAGCTGATTGTGTACACTGGGCCTACAATTTATAGTCAAGCACCGATATTATGGCTGTATGTTGCAGCACCCCAGCTGTATTAACCGCTCGGCCATTCGACTAGCCTAACATGGAGGTTATCATTTTACCAATCAAATCAACTCTCCCAATCAACACTGATTTCCATATGTCACTCTGCTTGGGCAACAGAAAATGTCCAATTCACCACAATTTTTCTTTAATTTTCAAACACCCAACATTAATTTACCATACTTTACTCGCTGTCAGATTTGTTTTTAATGATGAAATATCATACCTGGGTTCAATGCTTCAATGCTAGCCTGTCCTTTCAGAAGGAATTCTGAATGGAAAACTGTATTAAATTGTTGAAATTACACCCTGGGTTTATTCTCAAATAAAGGCTATATATTAAATTAAAGTCTAAACTAGGAGGTGGGCTTTTACTTGAGCATGGTCTTATATACTTGGAAAAATAACAAGTTCTCATAATCTTGAAAATCTGATGAGATTCTAGTGGCCCTAATGGCTGCCCATACAAAAAGGATCTGTTAATCAATCAGCTGAGTGATTCTAGTGGCCCTAACGGCTGCCCATACCAAAAAGATCTATTAATTAATCAATCAGTAGGGTACTCCTAGAGCTCCTCATCGGAGCTAAAAACGACAATCAAATATTCTAGTTACCTTGACAAGTCATACTGTTGGTTGCCTTGGGTAACCGAACACTGCACAGGCTCAGCTGGACAGGCATAATTGGTGTACCACTTAAAAAAGTAAGTAAAATTTCCCTCGGACATGTACATAGGCTCTGTATCAACTGCATCAGGATCACAGAGAAAAGCAATCTCAGTCTACCAGTGCAAATACATAGAATAAAGTGAATTACAATATATAATGGTAATGTAATGTAGTTAGATTTATACAGAGATTTATACCAAAACAGTCTCAAAGTGCTTGAGGTTGCCTCTTCCCTAAGGGTCTTTTTGTGTCTGAGCTACCTGGTAAATCGGTACCAACTACTCTCATCTGTCCACAACGGGGGCTGAATGGACAAGTACACAGGGGTAACCCTCTACTCATCTCAAAAGATGAACTGGGTTCTTTAAAGTGCACATGAGCCAAATTATGTACACTGGGCCTACGGTTTATAGTCCTTATCTGAAAAGACTTGTTCCACCACCAGGATTATATACCAGCGTGCAGTTTGAACCAGTGGCGATATTATGGCTGTACGTTGCGGCACCCCTGCCTTAATGACTTGGCTATCCAACTCACCTATAAAATTTCTACAAACAACACGTTTCAATATGACATATATACTCACTGGTCATGTATGATATCCAAGTGTTTTGCCAATAGGCCGCATTCTGCAGTTAAGTCGTATAATTACTAAAGGTGACATTGTTTTGAGAAATTTGGTAGGGCAAAGGTAAAAAAATACTGCACTAATAATATTAACAATAATTAGGTGACCACTTAAATCTGACAGACTGGGGTCCTCTGCCCCACACTGAAACTGACACTGGAATCAGTAGTGATGTTAGCAGTCCTTGAGTATGATACTAAAACAACTACTCTCTTTGTTCCAAATTGAACATCCCTATGCAGAAAATAGAGCCATCCCATGCCACATCAAAGTCTACCATTTTCCATATTCATATACAATTCCTTCATTAGTGTTGTTGAAGCGACAACACCGTAACAGAGTTTTGAGTGATTCTGTTGCAAGAATTTGCCTAGTAATAATTTTGGATTGAATTTTGCAAAATTTTGTTAAAGATATTTCTGAATCCTGTATTTTTTAAGAGAAGAGAACTAATAGGATTTCTTGGACAGATGATTCTAATTGTTTATAGGGGTGTTGAAATCAGAAAAAATGGCAATGTAGTTGTTTTATCCAATTTAAAGTAATCACAAAAAAAGCAATTATTTATGCTTTTCCTGCTTTTAACATCAAATTATAACAGTAATTCCAAACAACAGACTTACCCTTCTTGGAACTGGACCATCTGGTGTGTTATATTCATCTCCATTTAAGTAAGTCAGTTTCAATATCCCATCATAGTAATTAAGATCAGAGTTGGCTTGGCCAGTAATATAACTTCCAGAACCACTGAAAGATTTAATACATAGTATAATTATTAGAATACAAGTCTTGTTCAATTAAAGACTCCTTCAAATAAAGACCAACTCTAATTAAAGACCACCTTTCTGCAGTCCCAAGTATATAGTAGTATATATACCTTTTTATAATAATTAAGGTTTTATCTATTTTCAAAAACTGTTGTGCAACGTAAAACTGCAGAACAAACCTTGAAAGTTACTAATGCTAACTGACGACTGAATGTAGCTGTCACACTTTGTGTAAATAGGCCTTAATAATCAACTTAATCAATAAAGAATTGTAAATAAGAAACCAATACTGACACATTTTTTTCCTGACAGGCTCCTACATTGGTACCAATGCAGTGATCAGATGATGATAAGGCTCCACATACTCTTATGTAGTAGTTATAATTGTGTTTAGGATCTGTAACATTGACCTTGTAATCTTTGCCCTTCAAAGGAGAGAGGTCAAAGACAAATCCTGCCAGAAAAATGAAAAGATAATGAAGGTGTAAATCAGTTTATTGGAAGAGCACTTGGTAAGTATATGGTTTAAGAATAACACAATTAAGTATTTAGTCATTTGTCATGTAATGTCATCTTTGTCATATTAATAATAATAATTTAAAAGTAAGTGCTTGCCTGCACTCAGTCTCAGGTTTTCAAGATTTGCCCATCATTTCATTCTTATATTTGTACATTATTATTTCTATATAGATATTAATGAAGAATATTTTTGTGTTTTATTTGATTGTAGTACAATAGTGAAAGTATTTGTACAAATTAAAGCAGTAGAATTCAGTGGCTGGTATGCAGCCAAAACCCTATTGATGTGATGGCTTTTTGGAGACTGTTAGGTACTGATCCAGATCCAGGAACCAAGAGAAATGTGGGAAAAGGTTAAACACAGTTTATGCCCTCAATTTTGAAGTCAGGGGTTCAAATTCCTTATTTTACATTTAGCTGTGTCCTTCAGCAAGGCACTTGTGCCTTGTTGAATATGAGAATGACCTCAAATGTTCAAACTTTTAAAAAACTATTACCAAATAATTGAAAGTTACTTGCATAAGATAATACAGTAATTGTTTTATTTTGGTTTCTTTTACTTCTTTATTTATGTTTGTCTTGTAATTGTTTTTGTAATTTAAATTTTGTTCTTCTGTCTCTCCACACCCAGGAGTGGTAAGTAAGTACATGGTAAAATTTATTGCACTGACTATACTGGTATGCATTTATTACTTAGGCATTTTTAGATTAACATACACAGAAATGTGTATTTAAATTTAAAATTTTGTGGAATAAATTACTTAGTAAACACATGAGGATGTCAGAAATCAGCTCACATAAACATATATTTAAACAGCTTACTTTATCATGTGCATTTCTATAAATCATTATTGCAGTTGTTGATCTTCGTGGTATATAATAGCAAGGTACTGCAACCAATCTTGTAATAAATATGTGTTTATTTAAGTCTTGACCTTTGACACAGACATGCATGGTTTAAACTACAATATTAGTACACTGTACCTCCTTCATCATCATAAACAATACAATCGTGACCCTTCACTTTTGCCAGTGGGCAGGCAGCTGCTGTTCGCCATTCAAATTCATACAAGCATTCATCAACTGATTTACGTATGAAGACGGGAGGTCTCTCCAGATCTCCTAAAAGGATAATGAAAGTAAGTTTTTTATATTAAGAAATAAAATAATTCAAACAAAACTAAGATATAGGATGATTAAACATTGTTTACAAAAAATAAATTGAAAGTTGATATAAAACTGTTCATTCGGCACTGTCTGATTGGAGAGGAACCCTTCTCCACCATTTTCTTTGTTGTGCACACAACGTCATGTTGCATTATACATGGAATCAGATCGGCAAACGACCATCAACGCAAAGTGTGCCTAACTTAATGAAACTGAGTTCACCAACCCAAAAATAACTATGTTTAAAACATTTTTGACTGGACGTTATGATGTATATCAGTAGTTAAAAGATAGCAACGTAAAATGTAAAGCTTTTTTTCCAAGATTGTCTCTTATTCAATCTCAAATCAAATAGTGAGAGAGTACAAAGGTGGAAATATATGATTCATAACTGTGGAAGAATAATACTCAAGTTTTCAGTAAGTTAGTCTTCAGTTTCAGGGACCCAATAAATACACCTTGCTGGGATTATAGCACAACATCCTGCATACCCTTTAATTTACCTAATGGTCTGTCACGATACCTACTTGCACCTGCAGGCCTGTAGGCGGGGCAAAATTTGTTGGAAATTGATCAGCTCAAGTGATTGCAAATTGCTCCATACGAACAATGTCTTCTGTAGGCTTAGAGATGTAAAGGACATAAAATGTTACACAAGGTCCCTAACCACACCGAAATGAATGAAAATTTAAATAGAATATTCACGAATTATGGGTTTCAGAAATCCATATAAGGCTCTTAAAAGGTTACTGTCAAAGCTTCAGGGGGGACCTCAAGCCCTCACCACAGATTGTTGTGTAGCCAGGCCTGACCTAATATGATTGACCAATGGAATGCGATACTCACCTGGACTGCAAGAAAAGGTTATGACGGTAGACTTTTTCTGTTTATCATTGTCACATGCACTGCCATCTACATATTTTAACTTGATATGATTGTCCTCAAACACAGGTGAATTTTTGTACACCCCAATATTAGCAACCTTTGACCCTTTTTCTAAAAGAAAAGAATAAATGAAGACATACAATGTAATGTCAATCTGTAATTTTAGCTACATACTGTATATATTCAATGTATTATAAATCTGTATACATGTATAATAATAACATCATGTTTATACCATCAATCAAAGTTGGACAGTGTCCACAAACATGGGGAGCAGTATGATATAGCAGTAAGGCTTTCAATTCAATTCAATTTATTGACACTCAAAAAGATTCAAGGGTTATTATTGCAAAATCACAGTAATATACATAAAACGGATATGAGGAGTTTGGAAACAGGCCAATGATTTAAAGCTCTATACCACGGTTAAAGTGGTATTGGGATTGGGATTGGATTGGATTTATTCAGTGTAAACACCAAGGATAAACCACGAAAGTCTAGAAGAAGACTTATGTTTAGTGGGGTCCTTCAGGTGGTGATCGGGCAGTACACCGGGGGAACCAAGGATAGCCCACGAAAGTCTAGAAGAAGACTTATGTTTAGTGGGGTCCTTCCGGTGGTGATCGGGCAGTACACCGGGGGAACCAAGGATAGCCCACGAAAGTCTAGAAGACTTATGTTTAGTGGGGTCCTTCTGATGGTGATTGGGCAGCACACCGGGAGACAATCCCATACTCTTTACTGTAGAGTGTACTGCGTTCTTTAACGTGCACATGGGTCATAAATGTACACAGGACCAGCGGCTTAAACGTCTCATTTGAAGAACGGTGCGCTATTTATTATAACTTGTGTTTCAGCCCTCCAGCTGAAAACAAGGAGAGGCAGCGATGGGAATTGAACTAGGGACCTAGAGATTTCCACAGTTCAGTGCACACACAGTGGCTACCACCAAATTAGCCGACAGAGCTGATTTTTAATTTCACACGAAGAAGAGTAGGCGAGATCAAGCTTGAGGAAGTCTGCTAAACAAATTGAGAAAGAAATAAATGAGTTGAGAAAGCGAGAACAGCCCTAGATAGGTAAGAAATTTGATCTCAGAGACACAGAGAGTTGACAACACAAAGGAAGAAAACAATAAAAAGGGTGTTCATGTGATTGGAGGATTTTGCAGAAGGTACGGAGAAGGAAGAACTTTTGACGAGTTTTGAATATGGTGATGCCACAGTTAGAGAAAATTTAAAGGTAAGTCGAGAACGAAACGGAATCTGTGTTTCAAATGTATGGTTGTGGGTTCGAGTCGTTGCTGATTACATTGCTTGTAGTTCTAACAAATACAGTATATATTTTGAGGTTTACATTTACTCACCTAGTAAACAGGCAGAAGATGTTTCATCACATTTGGTTGACCCTACATTTTTTGAATCGTCGCGTATAATGTTTCCGCAGACGTTCAGCAGGAACGTGCCATCCTGGCTCTCATCACCATCAAGACTCAGAGCCACCCAATTCTTACGTCCTTCTCGCTCAAGTGCACCAAGGTCATATTGTGTCCTTCCAACCGTCACCTGACAGGTTTGGTCCAATGGGTGATCATGGCATGCATACTGTGTTTGCCACTCAAAAAAATATGTGCAAGAGGCCTCCGTGACAAAAGTTGGATTACCGTTACCTAAAATATAATAACAGGTAATGAAGTTTCGCAATTATAGTCTATTCTTAACACTGGTATTAGTGCATGGAGAAAACAGTTTTAAATTACTGTCTATTTTTTACTATCACCACGGCCGTCCCCCATAGCAAAACAACGTAACTGATATTTTTGTTAAGTTATTTTGTTTTGAGTTAGAATGGCTGACCATTATTCAGTGGCGGAATTTGAAATACAGGGTGGAGGGGGCGACCAGGGAGGGACTTTCACAGTCTAGATCACCTCATTCCCACGATGGTTAGGACTGAGGTAAACAAATTAATGATTATGGCATCTCCAGATTGCCAGAAATTTTTTCTCCATTTTCTATGACTTTGACAAATTTAGGGCGGCTCCTTCTATTTATAAAAAATAAAATGTATTATTTTTCTCATTTTTGTGATCATGGATTATGAATTATAAAACAAAATGAAACAAATGAGCATTCTAATAATAATATAGTGAAATGTACTAGTTATTAATAAATCTAAAACTTGTATTCATTACAACAATGATAGTAATGACTCGAACTATGCCTTTCTTTAGGTTGTTCCCACCCTTTTCCCGCCAACTGGAACTATGCCTTTGTTTGAGCGTTCCCACCCTTTCTCACAGTGAACAATGGCTTTTCTGTTAGCCTTTCACTAGCAGTCTTCTCATTGGTCAGTTTATCCAACTAGCAGCCAGCCTCTCTACCCAAACATATGATAAGTATTTCCCTGTTTGGAATTTCTGTAGATATTATTCTCCTGAAGACGATTGAAGCAATTCAATCAAAACGTTGACGTTGAGACTTTCTCAACTACAACAGTTCTTTTCAGAACTACCTATGTGGTGTACCACAAGCTTCAACATATAAGTAATGAAATGAATAGTAACTATAGTGTTAATCAGACCTGGGAAAAAAATGTTTGTACAGCGGAAAAATTTTAAAAAATTGGGAAAACCATATTTTTTTGTAAACAACCTGCAGTGTTATTGCACTTGAACGTTATCACTGATGTTCGTTCAAATCCACTTGAGCAAGGATTGCCGCCTTTGTATGTCAGTGATAGCTCACCATCTGTGTATCTATGGACAAAACAATAACAAAAGGATAATGTAATGTAAAAATATACAAGCAACTTCCTCATTTATTTTAATTAATTTTTATTATTTGAAAATACTTTTATATCCGTCCATTTAAGCTACCGTAAATGCTTGAATAAGCGCCGCGTCAAAAGGCCAAATTTTTAGAGGCTTCAGTGTGGCGCTTATTTGAGAGCGACGCCCATTCGAGAGCTGCGCTTAGTGAAAAAAAAATCATGGTTGGTGTGGTGTTTATTCAAGAGCGGTGCTTAATTGACCATTTACGGTATAAAGTATTTCAATCACGTACTGTCTGTTTTAAAGTTCTCTCCACACCATCATAATTTATGCGACAAGTAAATGTGATATGGCATGGTATGTAATATAACATCATCATGTCCATATATGGGCACATCACACAAATGTGTCACATAAAATGTGATTGTGTGGCCAGAGCTTTAATCAATATTCTGCCCAATTTTGTCAACCACCTTTATCACATTTTTCTAACATAAAAAAAAGTTGTCCCAAGACCACAGACCTCTATGTCAATTTCTGAAGCTCAGGCCAGAAATCAAATTTATTCATAAAAAAAGACTATTCTCTTCTGAATTCTGGAAGAGAGTCCCCTCAGTTAAGCGCAAAACAAATCGGTATATAGAAATTCCTTTGTTAGTAATGCTATACACATTTAACAGCTCAAACTTTCATAGATAATGCAATACAGTACTGGTCACGCATGTGCAAATAATTAACAGGTGCTATAAAACTTCTTCTATTTTACAGATTAATTTTCATTTATCGATAATATTTAAATGTATTTTATGTATTTACTGAATAATAGTAGCTAGTTAAAGTCTGATTGCAATTCCATAGTTCACTTGGAATGCGACAATAAAGCTTATGTTATCTTAATATCTTAAAGCTTCTCATCTATATTTTATCCATTCATTTTATTCATCCATTTACATATCACATTTTTTTCGTTTGCATACATTGAGTTTCCATTTTGATGGATGCCAGAGCTATACAAATAGCAGCTTCATCACCAAAAAAAAACCTGAAATTAATTTTAAGCCATGTCCAGACTATCAAATATTATTTAACAAAAACATGTAATGTCCCTAAATGCTCATGATATTACATCATGAGCATATATAGGCACATCATGACTATATATAGGCACATCATGACTATATATATAGGTACATCATGACTATGTATGGGCACATCATGACCATATATAGGCACATCATGACCATATATAGGCACATCATGAATATATAGGTATAACATGACTATGTAAGGCATATCATGACCATATATAGGCACATCATGACCATATATAGGCACATCATGACTATATTTAGGTACATCATGACTATGTATGGACATACAACATTTTTTTTAGTCTGGACAGAGCTTTAGGATGTATGCCTACCTCAATTGCGCTTGTCTAAATTTTCCAGCATTGACCATGTGGTTATCACCTATTTGCTGACATATTCCAGCAGTATTTTCGCCACCACATGCTTCGTCACATATGTTTAAAAAATATGTATATTCAGCAGCTGAAACACGGTAATTGGGATCACTAGTTCCAGCTGTAAAGCAAAAAAAAAATCAGTACAACAAGTGGCAAAGGCAAGCCACACAAGTCACTCATCACAATAATCAAATTTTAGTTATCACTACAGGGTTCAACAGTAAAATGAGAGCTATAAAATGGTAAAAGAATCACTAAAGTCTGACATTTCCTTATGAAGTTTAAACATACAGCTGTTTAAAAAACAATATTTGAGAAATCAGCCTTCAAACGTTTTTTCTCAGGCAGAAACCATCACCAAATCATAAAAAATTGTTGTTTTAACATTGAAAATAGCGAAACTAACAGCATAGCATGATGTTTAGATATATATAAAGGTTAGTTCAGTGCAATAAAATAAATTTCAAAAATTTTGACATTATCTCTAAAACACGAATTGAGACGAGTGACTGATCTTTGCCATATATTCATTTCCGAAATTTATTCCAAAACAACAAGATTCAAGTCTTTTGTCTTAAGTTCAGATATAACAGTTATAACAATAAGTCATGCCATAAATAAGAACAAGAGCAATTTTTATCTATTCTAATTTTTTTCAATTTTATTATAAGTTACCATAATATTCTTATTTTTATTTTAAAAAAACTTTTAGGCACATGGCCAAGCATTACCAATAGCAACTTAACCACTGTCCTATTAGATAGGTTGCAATCCCTTCACATGACAAATATAAACACTTGATGCTTAACAAAGTCCCACATATGAGGCTTAGGGAGTGGAGTTGTTTTTGCCATGAAAAAAAATCCTGTTACCATGACAGCAATTGAACTCAGGACCCTGGGATTGGAAGCAAGCATCTTAACCACCAAGCTATTCAACTCCACTTGATCACTTTATATCATTTTTTAATGCACTTTTAAAAGAATTATTTATTTGTTATAAAAAAAAAAGATTGAGGACATGCACAATGCCTCCAACTGCCGGTACTGCAGCATTTTCACACACTTTTTGCAGCCCAAGCACAAAACAAAACATGACTAAACTTACGAGTTTTCTTAAGAGGTGTCAAATCAATATCTACGCCATATTGTTCATTATCTAGCTTGCAGGTGTCTGATGTCAACATCTCTGTTTCGCATCCATACTCAGTCTGCCATTCAACATGGAACTGACAGTTATAATCCGAGGTCACAACAGGTGCTCGACTCTGAAGACAGCAAAGAAAACATAGATGTTCATTATGAAATGTAATGTTATTTAGGCATCATCCGATTTCCAAATGACAGAATCGCATTCTGACATGCTTTCTACTGTATTCCAACAAGATACACTAACGCGTGCAAAAATACCATTACAGAGGCTGCGTCTTTGGCCCGTTTATTCATGTTTGAGGCTGTTAACTAAATTTTTTCTTTTCTTTCTTTTTTATCATATTTATAGAGGGTGACCCTTCCAGCGTATCTAGAAGTTCGGTTGATAATTCAGGGGCCCTCTTTAAATAAATGAAATAATGTGATACTTTTATCAGCGAAGTTTCTACAATTATCAATTTATCTAGACGGGTTTCAATAAAATGCTTGTTTCTTTTTATTGTAATTTGTATGTGGTTGTAGGCCTATGTGGTTTGGTGTTTATGGAAATTTCTTTTCTGACTTTTAAATCTTGCCGAAAAATCCAATTTTCTGTTTATATTTTATTATGTAGCACAGACAATAAAGTTTCTTGAATCTTGAATCATCCAGTAATGGGTAAGTTTTTGAAACTGAGTAATTAGCATAGGTACTGTACGTGGTAGTATTGTATACTTTAGCACAGAGAAGCCAATAGTCTTGATCATAACTTTGGCAATAATAAGTCAATTCCAGTAAATAATTTCTTTCAAAAACTTATAATGTGGAGGATACGAATATATTTAAAATGTTCTTGTTTTAGTCACTGTTGCTGTCTTTGGAATGGCAAATTCCATATTACAGGGTACAGTATACATTTATTACTGTTCCTACATTTATCAACTACTTACCCCTCCTAGTCTGGCACCCTCTCGAGGGCAGACAAAACTAATAGTTGTAGATGGGCTGTGTCCATTACAACCTGGAATATCTTTAGCATTGTTCTCATAATAGAGGGTATGGTGATCATCGTCCAGGGACTGAAACTCTCTTGAAAAAGGAACTCCTCCCATGTTAAATCCTTGACTTTCGACTTTACCATCTGATTTGGTCACGTTAGTTATACGGCAAGCAGCCGCTTCCTGTGGGCATGATGCCGTTGGTCCGTCTAAAGATGGAATAAACAGTAAACATTAAGTCAACGATATGTGGAAATTATAAAATACACTTTGATTTCTATATGTCTGCATCCTTTACTTCAGCATATTTTACAGCCTAAAACTACCCGTATCATAACAGCATCTGAAATAGCATAGTAAAACATTTGGGAGCTTTTGATTTAGTTTAACAACGCGACGCTAAAACGCAATCACACATGCGTGACCATCCTGCCTTGATTTGGCCAAATAGCATCCTGGAATCTACAAAACATAATGTTCTCGCATGCGCAGATGACTATTAGTGACGTTATTACGTTCTACGTCCTACTGTCACCGTTTAATTGAAAGCTCCTAATGATAAGAGTTGTGCAGCGTAAGTCCAATACACTGACAATGTCTGTGAATTTTGTTTTTGTAAATTTTGTTCTGTTATCTGTTACATGGTGTGAGGGCGTGCATGACAGACTTTCGGTCTATATGGCAATTTTTCTAAAGTATATTACAATTTTGTTTAATAATGTTTATTATTGTATTGTAGCTTTGTTGGACCAAAAAAAAAAAAAACCGCAATGAAAACAAAAAGTATCTTTAACTTACCAGGCTCTATATTTCTACAAACATTAATATAAAAGTCATAGTCTCCGCTTGCAACAGTTAAGTATCCTGACAACTGCTTGACTAATGGAGTAAAGTCACGCTTTCTATTCTTATTGTCATACACATAACACCTGGTTTCACCCAAGGCTTGGTGCGCAACATGCTTACAAGCTACAGTGCTATGCCATTCAATAAAGAAGCTGCACTCCGAGCTCTCTAACAGTACAGGTGAGCCCTAGAAAAATCAAATTTCACAAAAATAGAAACAGAATTTCAGAATTGATTTTATCTTTCACAAACAACATGGTTAGGTCCTACAATACATTCATCGATGCTTTAAGTACTTTCAGTAATCCTTTACTATTCAGGTTATTAAGTTGGCCTACTATAGTATTTTTAGTCCATTATCATCTTAAGTAGTATTTTAAGTTGTTTTTTGGTATTTTAAGTGATTTTCAATGATTTTAAGTATTTTTTAGTTAACCCCTTTTAAAATTTATGATCACTTTAGCATGATTTTTAACTCATGTTTTCCACCACAGTAATCTAATATATTATTAACATTAATTGAAACCTATGGAGTAATTAAGTCAAGTTTTATATCAAAATATGTGTTTAGCTCTGTTTGAATGGAAATTGTTATAAAAGATCAATTTTGACTTACCAAACTATTCCCACACTTGAAATTGATGCTAGTATTATAAAACTGCTGTCCAACCTTAGAAAATGGGCAAACTGCACCTTGAAAGTCCATGCGAAATCCTCCTTTATGTTCAAATGTATTTGCTGTTTCAGATAAATTACCAATTATAGTATATGAGTCTGATGATACATTGTGCATACAAACAGACGATGTAGAATCACCACACACGGTGTCAGCTACAGCATTTCGCACTGAGCCACATGGGTTGATGTAGAAATGAAAATCACTGTCTGAAATTTGTGTTTTTATGTGCCAAATACCCCTGAAATAACAAACATAGCTTTAATTAATTTTGCATATCTTATCATTTTAAAATAACAATGCTATGGATCAGAGAAGTATGAAAGCATTTTAAAGGGATTAAAGAAAGGGAAGGGAAAATAATAGGAAATGAAGAAACAAAAGAAAATAGTTTGACCGTTGGGTGGGCTTTGTAAGCCCTTGCGAGTGGAGCAAGCATCCTCAGTTCGGGTTCAGCCCACAAAAAATTAGCATACTTTGACATAATCACCTATAATATGAACATTTGTTGGAAATCCACTCTAGTTTATGTGTACAAAATTTCCTGCAGGTCATTCAAATATATTAATCAATCAGCAGTATAATGTAGGTACAGTAGCAGAATAGAGTATTGGCCCTAATGGCAGCCCCTACAAAAACAATCAATTAATCAATGACCAAAAAGTATCTAATAATCAATGACAAAAATAGATCTATTAATCAATGTACTCGGGTACTCCTAGAGCTCCTTATCAGAGCTAAAAACAGAATGTGAAACTGATGGCCAAAATAAAAACCTTCAAAGAGTTTTGTATCCATGAACAGTGGCGGATTCAAAGGGGACCCAGCTGGTCCTCCTAAATTTTAAAAAAAAAAAAAAAAAAAAAAATTAGGAAAAAAGTCAGAGAATGCCATTTTCGGCCATCTACACCTGTAGAGGTGCCATAATCATAAATTTTCTAACCACAGCCCCAACCATGGTGGTATGGTAGTACAGACCCTCCATCTGTCGAACTTCCCCCTGGCTGGGCCCCCCCTCTACTTCAAATTCCTGGATCTGCCACTGATGGAGTATAACAACTTGCCAAATTGCCTGCAACCGGAGATTATCTTTCGAGTCACTACAACAACTGTCTCTTATACACATCTAGATGTGTATAAGAGACAGGGTCACGCATGTGCAAATAATTAACAGGTGCTATAAAACTTCTTCTATTTTACAGATTAATTTTCATTTATCGATAATATTTAAATGTATTTTATGTATTTACTGAATAATAGTAGCTAGTTAAAGTCTGATTGCAATTCCATAGTTCACTTGGAATGCGACAATAAAGCTTATGTTATCTTAATATCTTAAAGCTTCTCATTAGTAGAGTAGAGTATTGGCCCTAATGGCAGCCCCTACAAAAACAATCAATTAATCAATGACCAAAAAGTATCTAATAATCAATGACAAAAATAGATCTATTAATCAATGTACTGTACTTGGGTACTCCTAGAGCTCCTCATCAGAGCTAAAAACAGAATGTGAAACTGATGGCCAAAATAAAAACTTTCAAAGAGTTTTGTAGCCATGAACAGTGGCGGATTCAAAGGGGACCCAGCTGGTCCTCCTAAATTTAAAAAAAAAAAAAAAAAAAAAAAAAAAAAATTGGGAAAAAAGTCAGAGAATGCCATTTTCGGCCATCTACACCTGTAGAGGTGCCATAATCATAAATTTTCTAACCACAGCCCCAACCATGGTGGTATGGTAGTACAGACCCTCCATCTGTCGAACTTCCCCCCTGGGTCCCCTCTACTTCAAATTCCTGGATCTGCCACTGATGGAGTATAACAACTTGCCAAATTGCCTGCAACTCGGAGATTATCTTTCGAGTCACTACAACAATTCCCTGCTTTAGACCATGGAGTTCATGGCTACACACACTCTAAAAGTAATTTGGCCTTTCAAATAAATAAATAAAATTAAAAACTAGGGCTCTATGCCCTAGTCAAGCTTGGTTTCCATAGAATTGCTACACGTTATTGCCGAGAGCTTTACATGATGCTGATTGGTCAGTCGAATCTGGGAGCCTTCCCAACTGTGACAGTGTAGCAATTTTAAGGAAACAAGGCTTTAGTAGCTGTAGGCTACGCTACAGGAGTACTGTTAAGCTTGGTTCGTTGGTTTCCATACATACAGTAGCTACTACACGCTATCGCAGACAGCTTTTGATGCTGATTGATGATCAGTTGAGTCAGGACAAGGAGCCTACGTAGTCCAAGGATTGCACTGAAAACACTGTAGCGACAGTGTAGCTATTTTAAGGAAACCATACTTTAATTAGAGTATGCTACACTCGTCTAGGCCTAGACTATGTAGGTGCTTGTGGTAGGTAGACAGGCGAGAAAGCCTGGCGGCCTAGCAAACTAACTTGCCAAACATTCGTATCCTTACCAATTACGTAAAGGCGTCAGATTGTAACCGCCTACCATACAATCCTCGGCGGTTGCAGCTGATACATTTATAATTGTGAAAATAATTAAAAGTAATGATTTTGAACCGGGAAACGAAACCAGGCTAGCCATGTTTACGTTGCTTTGATCGCCTACCATCCCATGACCTTTTTCGTTCTTGGGTCACGTGAAAAGATGGGTCATGTGACAATACAAGTTGAATTGCACGCGCTGGTGACTACCGGACCGTGCAATTTTTTAAACTTCCTCGTTGTACACTCTGTGAAGTTGAGTCCAAGAAAACATAACAGAAAAACAAATTGTTATAATATTAAATACAAACTACAGGCACATAAAATGCTGACAAAACAAAGTCTGATGACTGAATAAATTATATATATAGGCCCTATGTACATGCATGTATAATTATGTACTCATTGTTATTTATTAAATAGTTTATAAATATGCACACACGCACCCACACACATATATATCTCGGTATCTTTTATTCATAAATTCGAACAACACAACTACAATATCAAATCCTTAGCAGCCAGAGGCTGAATTGGGGATTCAATTTACAAAATGAATACCTGAATTAAATTTACAATAAGTCATTATCATTGTTAAGATCAATTAAAATAGTCAATATTAATATAATTTTAATTAGTTATTTTAAAATGTTGATATTAATTAATATGCACAAACATTAAAAATTTCCGATTTAAAAAAATTAAAAAAAGGAAGACATAGCAAATAGGCCTATTCAAAAACAAACTAAAGAAATTTAAACTAATATCAAACCGACCAAGGGCACAGACGTCCGCATACCACTGGCACAGTGCACCCAAAACACCACCCGGGCGCACAAGTCAACACTCTCACAGAATGGACACCTAGGAATGGATTAATTTTTTTGATTAAGAAGTTTGGTGAGAAGGTATAGGGCTATTTATAAACCTTTCTGTTCTAGGAATAACAGTTTCGAACAGTTCGGAACTTTCTGGGATTACGGAGACGCATAGATGAGGTATTATTGGAGGTTTGGAACCAATGACGAAACCTCCAATAACTGATTTCTGGGCAAACTTTCTGCAGATAGAGGACCTGCGGTCAGGGAGCGACTCCAGCCCGAGCGCTGCTGACACTTTCATATGAAATATACTCACGTGCCAGAATATTAATGCGACATGCGTGCTTTTGGACCCTCTCTCAAGGCGACGGGTCTGTGCTCCAGATAATCCACAGTTCCAAATAGGTGTGACATATTCGAGGGTTGGGCGAATATAAACAAGTGCAAGTGTACTGACATTACCAGGTTTTCGGCAGGGATGGCGCCAGCGGGGGGGGGGAGCCCCCCCGGTCGGGGAGAGCTGCCCCCTTTACCCCCGTCGTGGAGAAAAAGCACAATTCGTCGGGGAGAAAAATATATCATATGTATTTTTTACATATTAGTGGACTCTAAAATCGATTAAATAAGCCTTTGAAACCCCTAAATTATCGAAATTTTCGGTGGCTTCGCCCCCAGGGCCACTTTCGGAACCTTTTATTCGAAACTCGACCACGCCCACTTTATATATATATATATATATATATACATACATACATAGACCTATATAATATAGTATCTTCTTGACGGTATTGACAACTCAGATACGTACAATGTTGACTTTTAAACCACTACAATCTGTTGGCAAAGACTACAATATATATATATATATATATATATATATA